CCCCCAAACACAGGTCCTAAAGTCAGCCCTAACAGGAGTTCCACGAATGTGTCTTCTAGTTAGCCTTGTAGTGACCTATCATCAGGCCAGACGCAGTTGGCCCTTCCTGTGCACTCACCAGCATGTTCATCAGTATTAATGACACCATCAGTTCAACTGAACTGCATTGTGTTAGTCAGGTTGACTAGAGAAACAAATCCAGAGACACTCGTATGTATGTAAGAGAGAACTTTCTATCAAAGAGCAATTGTACATTAGGAAACCACCCCAGGCCAGTCCAGGTCAAGTCCATAAATCTGATACTAGCCCATATGTCCATTACCAGTCTATAAATTCTTCTTCAGAATCAAGCAGCATTTACAATGATGCCGAATGCAGGAAGAAAGATCATAGGCCAGCCGGTAGAAAGTCTTGTGGATCCAGTAGCAGTGGAAGCGTCTCAGCACTGGTGTGCATCTCCACATGGCTCCTCCTGCTCCGGGGCTCTAGCATAACTCCATGTGTCTTGTCAGCAGGAAGACAAAGCAGGGTGTCTGTGCATATCTGGCTTCCAGTGAGCGATTTATCTCAGTAGGGTCTCCAAATGAGATCATCAAGCTGAAACCTGATAGACAGGCTAGACTCTACCTGTTCTCAAGTTGACACCAGATTATGTAACTACCACATACATGCATGGTTTTACTACAGGTGTTGAGTTTGATTGCTATGCCTCCAGAAAGGTCGCACTACGATTTAACCCTAAAACAAAGGGCACTGTGTTCAGAGAAGAGCACAAAACAGCATAAGGGAGCAAATTGGACAGGACTGCTATGACTTGCTGTCACATGGGCTCTCATTTCTGGTGACGCCATGTACAACAGAATGAATCGCCCAGTTCTATGCCGTCTTCATGATTACTGACATGTTCAAGTTCATCGTTGTGGTCACTATATATTTTGTTTATCTTCTAGCACTAGGCCAGACAGGGTTTTGTTGTGATCCATTGGTTAATTTTCCGAAGTAGACTTTCAGACTGTGGTTTCTAGTCTGGGTCTCTGTTGACACTTGCCCACTATGGATGATCTAAATGGTACTTGAAATACTGCTGATGAAGCTTCCATCATCACAGCAAAGTGAAAGCAGACACAGACAAATGGGTAGACAACAGGTAGTGGAAATTTTGATACTAGAAAAGTCAATGTATGTCATTAAATGAATGTCAAAAATTACATATTTTTGTTTTGTTTTATTGTTTTGAGGTTTTCTCCAAATCATTTTATTGGGAGTTATTACAAATATTACATAGTTCAATCACATCAAGCAGTATTGTACAGTTGCTACCATGATCAGTTTCAAAGTATTCTTTTCCTTCCTGGATCCCCTGATACTGGCTTCCTTTTATTGCCCCCCCACCCCAACAACCACCACCCATCCCCTCAGAAACCCTTGTTCTCCTTGCTGTCCCCCAACAACCACCACCACCCATCCCCTCAGAAACCCTTGTTCTCCTTGCTGTCCCCAGAGGCTCATCAATCCTGGGTTCATGTGCTGAAAAACAGAAATACATGGAACACAAATTCAAGAGGGTGACCCCCCCCAGCGACGTCACACATCTGAGATAAGCCCCAATCTGAACAAACAAAAAACAAAAGAAGTACAGAAAACCAGATCGGGTTTGTTGCAAAATAAATCGGGCCTAGCATGTGTCAGAGGGGGAGATCAACGGACAATGGTTTAACCATTCGTCAGGTTTAACCTTTTGAGCTTCCATAGTCATTTCTCCAATATATTCCGCTTAGTAATCACTTTCCTCCCATCCTTCTATTATGCATAGAGGGAAATCACCAGAGGCAGATGCCTATGTAGACCCCACAAATGTCTCTTGGGCTCCCACTGTCATCCATTGCCTTCTGCAAACCAGATTCTCCCAACTTAGGCTCTGATACTATTCCCTCCTTCGACTTCGGATTATATCATTTACAGTCCGTCAGTGATTGATGTTGATCTGCTTCTTCCTTGTGGATTTAGTTGACATCTCACTCAGATAGCTGCTTGTTGGAAAACGAGACTTTAAGGTCCCACACACTATTTTATCTCATAGCCGGGCACCATCTAATTTTGTTTCCGCGTTTTGCGATAGACCTGATCTTCTGTGTCCCCGTCCTGAGGGTAGGTATTGAGGAGGACCATGATGCAAGAATTAATTGTTATTAGGTTGGAGCTAGGATTTAGTGTGACCCCAAAATCCATTCCTGGATCTATGCTTTTTTATGTTTGTTCTTTAACCTACATTTGGGTCCCTTTCAAAACCTTCTTGTTAGTTTATCGTAGAGCGTCTTATTGATCATCTCCCCAAGCATTATGATCTACTGTTAATGTTGTGTCTGAACAGCCCTTGGTACCAATGTTTTAAAGCCCTGTGGAGAGAGGGCTTTAAATTGGGCCAATGAGAAGGCTCACTCCATATCACAGCACCTGAATCATTCATTTGTTCAGAATCAATCCTTCCATGGATGGATACTGTTTACACAAACAATGGGGGTTAATTGTCAAAGAAAATTTACAATAATAATAACTGAAAATGTCAGTCATAGGTTTACCAGAATAGCTTAATACAACATAGAGGGCATTAATGTAGCAAGACCTTGCTTGCCTGCCTTCCAACAGTTCAGTAATCTTGGTACAGCTGTCTTCTGATTCCTTGGACACCATGTATTTTCTGACTTAGGTGCTCAGCTTATAAGTTTGTCTGAGGTAGAGTCCAGTTTACCCAGCGGAGTTTCCTCGACAGATCTCACTGATGCAGCCTCTGGAGCATGCCACGCACCTTGAAGATCCAGGACTCAGTGTCCCAGTGTTTCATGGTACCCAGCCTGCGTCCCCAGGATGCACCCAGGCCCATCCGGTGCAGACCACCAGGGGACACTCCCTTGGTTGAAAACAGCTAGTGTGTCACAAAATCATGTGAGACTGTTTCCTTTAAGTCACTTGTTGTGAGGAACAGAAGGATTTCTCTTAAGTTGTCTCCCCAAAATATATGCCAGACTTAGCTTGAGAATGACTGTTCTTTAGGCAGCGAAAATAGGTCAGAGGTTATTCTCCTTAACATCAGCCATCTAGAGTGGCCAGACTGTATAGTCTGACTCATCCCAAATAGGGCCTATTCCTTTCTGTTATTGTTCCCTTGAAGCAGTGCCCAAAGGCAAGCCCGGGACCATGCTAAGATGACTAGGTCATCCCCCTCCTATTACTTGTATTGCCTATGTTGCAATCCCTCCCTATGACGTAGGTTATTATCTGCTATCAGGGGGCTTGCATGCCTCCCAGGATAGTAATTGCCTGCTTTATTGTATGAGACACAAGAATGATCAAACCTGTTCATGGATGAATTGTACCACCCTTCTCTGTGACGCATAATGTTGTGGTGTATCCCCCTAAAGTAATATGATGCGTGATTAGCAATAAATAAGGAGGCTCCCTGGTTCTCGAGGTGTGGCTGGCCGAGGGTGGCTAAAGAGGACAAAGCAGCGGCTTCTTCTCTGATGGCTAAGCCCCCTCCATGAGGACCACCAAGCTGGGCTGAGGTGAGCAATGCTACCATGCAATATGTCTGACTGTATTATTGTATTATCTCTCATGCTCTCGATGACTTTAATATAATGCTTATATATCTCAACCGTACAATTGCGTATTACTGAACCCAGAAGTAGTATTACTGAACCAGTGACTCAAGTAGCGGATGGGGCTGGCACCCCACTCCTCCCCTGTGTCACTTTTAATTTAATACTACAACTTGTCCTCTTTTCTAACCGCTCAGACCGTTGTTTGGATCTGATGGGCGAGAGACTGGAGTGTTGTTCAGGCTGTGGCCCTTCTCCTTTTTTAAGCTTAATTTTATTTATTTGTATTGTTATTTCCCCCATTTGATTTGTGACGTGTAATGCATTCAAGGGAAAACATGCTCTATATGGTGGCCCAGCCCAGCTCATCAAAGCAGTGACAGTGGCCCGGGCAACACGCCTGGTCTGTGGCTCTTCCTTCTTTATTTCTCCTTTTCCACCACCCTCCCCTTCTCCTTCCTTGTCCCTTCCTCCCCCCAAACCACACCAGCCCGGACCTTGTCATAGTCTTCAGTCTTTCCTTTCTCTGTGAGAACCATTTTCTCTCTTTCTCCCTTTATAATAAAAGTGTCCGGAGATGTTTATCACTGTGACATTGACTAACTCTGCTGAGCCTCGCGTCCCCTGATTTTGTCCATGTCGTGAGTTGTTTGACAGACTCACCTGGGGTTTAAGGACGCACAATATCCATTGTGAGTATGGGTCCGAGTCCGCTTAGTCACTCCAGTTGTTTTTAATGGTTTCCATATTTTTGCTACTATAGAAATGATTGCAGTCAACATGGGGGTGCATATTTTCTTGTAGAGCCAAGTGTTAAATGTGAAGAAAGGATGACATCACATTTTGATCAGCAATACTTTGATCCCTTTACTTGTTATTGTTGTCAGGTGCCATGAATTCAGTCGTGTCCAACAGAATGAATCAGGGCGTCCTCCCGGCACCATCCTCACCATCTTTCCTGTCTTGAGCCCATTGTTGCAGTTGCTGTGGCAATCCATTTCCCTGAGGGTCTTCCTCTTTTTTTGTTGAGCCCACCAAACGTGGCTGGTCCCCATCAGCTAACACGTCTAAACTTTATAAGTCAGACCATCCTCCTGAGCTTTGAGGAGTATTTTGGCTATACTTCTTGTAAGGCAAATTTGTTTTCTCTTCTATCCGTATATTTCATGTTCGGCACCAAACCATGATTCAACGTCATCAATTCTTATTCACTGACCGGCTTTCACATGAATATGCAATGGCTGAGTGCTTCATGGTTGGGACCGGCACACCTTAGTTATCAGAGTGACGTCTTTGCTTTTTAACACTTTATGAACGTTTTATGCATTAGACCGCTGGTCTGTCAGTATGTCATATTGTGGTGATTTGTGTGTTGCTGTAGAAGCTGTGCCACTCCGATTTCCAATACCACAGGCTGACCCATGGGAAAAGTTTTCAGTGGAGTTTCTAGACTAAGACGGAGGAGAAGGAAGGTTCTAGTGGGCTATTTTGAAAATATGAGCCAATGAACACCTTATGGGTAACAGTGCAGCGTTGTCTGGTGTAGTGCCAGACGATGAAGCCCTCAGGCTAGAAGACACTCAGAATATGACTAGGGAAGGGTGGGCTCCTCGCATAGTGTCGATTTTCTTTTTTTAGATTTATTCATTTAATAATTGCATGAGGGAGCTCAGGGCAGATCCTACAGGGCAGCCACTGTCAAAAACCTCCCTCACATTTAGAAGGGTAGATGCCTTCCTTTGTCAAGTTCAAAATTTAGAAACGAATGGCTTTTTTCTTTTTCCATAATTGAGAAAGAGAGCTTTATTGGAGCAAAGCTTTGCAGACTTCTCTTTGCTGGTGCAGCATATAAAACTCAAAAGGGGAAGAAACAGACACAATATTCATGAATAATCAGAATGTGGATGGCACACAATGTATTGCACTGGGAAAATCTGTTGCAAAAGATTCCTTAGTAAATATAAATATCAGTGCAATGTCTTATAAATGACATCTTAAATCCACTAACATACAACTTATTATTTCATAGGCTGGCTACAAGAAGGCAAGTTTTACATCCTAAAATGTTGTTGGAAGGGCACATGGCTGAATGAGGGTCCAGAAGCTATTAAAGAGGGCAGCAAATGGCGTTCCCACTGAATTGAGTCTGCTGCCTACTTTAACCAACCAAAGTCTTCAAAGCAGGTGGGATTTCCCCATGTTACAGAGAAAGAATCCATGTAAGGTTCAGGGAAGTTTAATCATGCATCTAATGACACACAGCTTGTAAAAGTTAGAACTTTCCAATGCATGAGGGATAGCAAAGCCCACATATTT